ATATCGGGTGTGTGTGCTTGCCAGGGAGAGAGAGAGAGGCCAAAAGTAAAAAATCACCCCCCCCCCACATGGGGTATGGTCACACCACAATCCCTTCTCCTCCATGCTCCTCTCAGGATTTCAGGAATACATGGCATGGGGTTTTAAGTCACCAACTCTGGGACTCAAACCTCGGTTGACTATGTAGGAGTTCAGTGACATAACCATTACACCATCTGCTGGTCCTGACATCTTGACAATGTTAAGTCTTCCCATGCATAAAAGTGGAGAGTCTTTCCATCTATTTATGTCTGTGTAATCTCTTTCAGAAATATTTTGTAGTTTTTATGCACAAGACTTCTACCTCCCTGGCTAAGTCAAATCCGAAGTATTTTATTCATTTTGGTGTAATTGTAAATGGAATTAATTTCTTATTTTAATTTCCAGAGTGTTCATTTTAATGTATAGAAATGCAACTGATCTTGTGCATTGACTTTTTATCCTACCACTTTGCTGAAATTATTAATTAGTTCTAACAATATTTGGGAGGAAATTTCAAGGTTTTCTGCACATAAAATTATACCATCTGTGGACACACATAATTTACTTCTTTTTCTATGTGGATTTAAACATTTTTTTTCTTGTCTAGTGGCTCTGGCTAGAACTTTCAGTGCTATGTTGAATAGAAGTCATGCAAATGGGCATCCTTTCACCAGTTTTTCCTCTAAAATCAGGAGTATGATGTTTTCTCATATATGTCTTTTATTTCTAGTTCGTTTCATTTTTTATCATGAAAATAGTGTTTTTTCAAATGTTTTTTTCTGCATCACTTAAGAAGACCATGTGGTATTTATCCTTTATTCTGTTAATGTGGTGTAGGCTACAATGACCAGTTTTAATATGTCGACCTATCCTTGTATTTCAGAAATAAGTCCCACTTGGTCATGGTGGCACATCATTTCAATATGCTGCAGAACTTGATTTGTTAATATTTTCTTGAGGATTTTGTTCATAAAAGATGTTAGTATGAAGATTTCTTTTGTTCTATGTTTTTATCTGGCTTTGATATGGGTGTGAAGTTGGTCTCATAGATGAGTTAGGGAGTGTTCCCTCCTCTTCAATATTTTGGAAATGATAGATATTTGTTCCTCTTTAAATGTTCAGTAGAATTTACAGTGAAACCATCAGGTCCAAGGGAGATTTTTGATTACTGATTGAACTCCCTCACTAGTGATAGGCCTATTCAGATTTTTCTTCTTGTTGTTTTGTTTTTTGTTTTGCTTTGGTTTTTTTTGTGTGTGTGATGTAGTTTCAGTAGGTTTGGGTTTCTAGGGATTTTTCCATTTCATTTAGGTTATATAATTTGTTGATGTACAGTTGTTCACAGAACTCTCAGAATCCTTTTTGTTTCTTTATAATTAATAGTAATGTTCCCATTTTCATTTTTTTGAGTTCAGAAATTTAAGTATTCTCTTTTTCCCCTTAATCTAGCTAGCTAAAGGTCTGTCAACTTTGCCAATTTTTTTTGAGAGAGATTTTTGCTATTGGATCATGCTCTTGCAAGAAAGATGCAGTAACAGAAAGCAATAAATCACCCCCCTAGGAGGGAGGATCATGCTGCAATCCTTCTCCTCCATTCTCCTCTCGGAATTTTGGGCACATATACGCATGCACCCAGTGTGAGTTTTAAGCCAATGGGTCTGGGACTCAAAGTATGGTCAACTACATGGAAATCCAGTGATGTAACCATTATACCATCTGCTGGCCCCTGCTTTACAGATCTTTTTAAAGAATCAAATTTGGTTTCATTAATTGCCCCCTTTTTAAAATTCTCTATTTTATTTAACTTTGTTTTATTATTTATTTCCTTTCTGGTAGCTCTGGGTTTAGTTTGTACTTTATCTAGTTCTTTAGGTTGTAAAGTTCAATTCCTTATTTGAGGGGGTTATTTTTGTCTTTTTTTAATTTATTTATAGTTGTAAATATCCCTTTAGCATTAGTTTCACTGTATCCCATAAATATTAGTATGTTGTATTTTTCTTTTGTTTTTTCTTTGCCTTTTTTGGGGGGGGGAGGGAGGTTATTATACTTATTTATTTTACATTCATTTACTGTATATCATTGCGGCATACAAAACTAGCTTTTCTATCCAGAATACACTGTATATTGGTTTAATCAAAGATATTACCATCCATGTTATCTTCAACAAGTAATTTTCCATTTTGTGTTTCTTATATATTTTACTTCATTTTGTCCCCTGATTCCCTCCTGCTCACCCTCAATCATTTCCCACCCTTCTCCCACATGTCTCTGGTATCCACAGCTGCTCTTCATGCTTTTTGTTTTATCTCTAAGTATTTTTTAATTTCCCTTCTGATTTCTTTTTCTTTTTTTCCCCTTCTGATTTCTTTTGATCTACTGGTTAGGAGTGTGTTGCTATAAATATTCTATTTTTCTTTCTGTTATCAATATGTAATTCATCCCACTCTGGTCAGAGAAGATACTTTTTATAATCTCTATCTTTTTAAATCTGTTAAGATTTAATTGTGGCCTAATATATGTTTTATCCTCAAAAGTGAACAGTGTGCACTTGAAAATAATGTCTATTTTGTTGTTGGAAGAGAGTTCTTTGTTGCTACCATGGGGATTACATTTTACATTCTAAACTTGTAGCACTCTAATTTGAGTAAACTTAACTTCAATAATGTCCCAAAACTCTAATCCTTTCCAGTTCTGTCTTCATCCCTTTTGGTTGTTAAAGCCACAAAATTATATCTTTATAAATTGTGTGTCCAGAACCATAAACTAATAATGTTTCTTTAAAGTGTTAGTCTCTTAAGTTATGTAGAAAACCTTAAATGAATAAGAAATATAAAGTTGGTCTCAGTCCTTGGTTCCTGGCACAGGTGTCATAGAACCCTTGTGAACAGGAGTACTAGGAAAATATTTCATTCTAATATTTGGCCTTTGACCCTAGTCCTAGACATAGACCTTCTAAATCCTTTGGAATTGCCTGAGTGACAGGAGTCTTTTTTTATTCTAATGAGGTGACTCTTGGTGAGCTCCCAGATGAGGGCTGGTCATCAGAGGATGAAGAGGGGTGGGAATAGAAGTTAGCAGCCTTCAATTTCAACCCCCATCCTCCAGGGAGAGAAGAGGGGCTGGTAGTGAGTAATAGTCAATCAGGCCTACACAATGAAGCCTCATTGAAAATGTCAGGAGCAGGGGGCTTAGGGAGCTTTTAGGTTTGTGAGTACATCCACATGTGAAATAGAGGAAGAATCTCTGTAAGAGATACTAATAATCTCTAACCCAGGCCCAAGTAAATTTAGTTTAAGCAAGTATAGCTTTCCTGGATACTTTTAAAGCAAATTTCTTTTCTTATTGTTCCCCTACTTCCCTTTCTCCTATTTTTCTCTTTCCTCTTCTAATTTTCTCAAGACCTAAGAACTTTGAGCTTCATGTTCTACTGAATGATAATTAGCACTTGAGGTGAGGGAAATTGAGAGGGTTTGTTATAATCATATTTGCATGTCAGAAGAAAATGCAATCATATGTTTAATGTTTAGTTGTGTGTAGAGAGCGGCCAGATCTGAGCAACACAATAGCGATGTTTAAACACATGCAGAAACATGGTTCTTTGGCTGATCCTTGCAAGACTAGAGAAAAGCTTTTGACAAAGGATATGTATCTGCCTCTGTGTCCACACTGCAAGGTAATGTCAGTTAAAGGAAACTATCTGTTAGCCTGAGAAGGCCCAAGAAGATGAGAGGAAGCTCTTACAAGACTGCAAGGTGCCAGACCTTTCAGGTCTTCAGTGAATTAACATCTGGAAACAACTGGCTTTGCATTCCTCTTTTTTGTCCTATAAAAGAATAAACCTGGGAACCTTCATGACCACAACTACCTCCATCAGAGGAGTCTAAACCACCTGATCTTCCCTTTTCTCTACTCCTGTGTCCTAGTGTTTATGTCTATTTGATTTCCAATCCACAGCTGCTCTCGCTCAAGAGAAACATTCAGTCATGCGAATCATGGCAGTTGTGGGTTAGAAGTGTTGTCATTTCCATCCTGACTACACCAATAATGCATTTGGAATTATTTGCCTACTCTGCTTTGTTTGAATGAGCACCTAAGTATAAGAGCCCAGAAATAGTGAAACCATGGTCCAAGGACAGACTCCATCATCATACCAGTCCCATCCATCCTTCCCCAAGGAGAATGCCTAACCACTATGGCCAGAATATTCAAGTTGAAGACAGATTGATTGGTCCATGTGAGTGACGTAAGAAAAGTTAGGATAAAATGCTTCTCCCCTGCTCTTTATTCTTTGGGGGCTGTGGGAGGGAGGTGGTTGTTGTTATTTTGTTTTTGTATTTGTTGTTGTTACAGGGCACATGTGCTCACTGGAGAGAGAGGGAAAATGAGAATGCACCCTCCCTTCCACCCCCCCCAGTCGAGATGGCTACACTTCAATCCCTTCTGCTCCATTCCTCTTTCAGGATTTTATGCATACAAACAAGTGTGCCCTGTGTGTTGTTCAAGCCTCTGGGTCCATATTCAAACTGCACAGACACCCATATGGGATCCAGCTGCTTTAATCATCACACCACCTGGCTGACCCTCTTCTGGCTCTTTTAAGGGCTACCTTCATGACCACAACTACCTCCATCAGAGGAGTCTAAACCACCTGATCCTCCCTTTTCTCTACTTGTGTGTCTTTGTGTTTATGTCTGTTTTATTTCCAATCCACACCTGTTCCCACTCAGGAAAAGCATTGACTGAGTAGTGGCATATTCTTCTGCTAGGATTCCCAAATTCTAACATCCCAAGCAAAAAAGAAAGTGGTTGAAGTAAAATAAACCAGGTAATGCTTTTGAAATGTCCTACAGTCGTCACCCCCTGAGGAAAAGAACTCACAGAAGCACCAGGCCTTGAGTCAATATGATTTATTGTCCTCTCTTTTGCCATTATCATTCTAGTTGCTAGGTAAATTGCTCTCCATCCTTGGGACCTCATGGTTGAGAGTAGACATCTGGATCCTCTTCCACAAAGCTCTCAACGGTAGAATAAAAGTACGGCTGCCTCAGTTATCTCCCGGCTACTGCTGAAACCTGTATGAGTTCCATGTCCATTCCAGTCAAAAGCAGAGAAATCCCCGCACTGTCTGGGATTGCCCTCTGGGAAGAATCCTCCTCCACCAATGCAGTGCTGGGAAATAAGGAACAGAAGGCGTGGCCATGAGAGATCTGAGGGTGAGGCCAACAACATCTTAATGACCAAATGCATCCAGTGGAATCTGATGTTCATTAGACTCTCCGTTAACAGTACTGATCTGTTCCTTCCACAAAACTCTCTCTTCCACAGCAATAATACAATTGAACCCAAATGGAAAGGCCCCTGGTTTATTCCAGGGCCTCTGTGTACATGCCAGTCACATATCTATGCCCATGATACAACATGGGTGAGGCTGAGGGTAGACCATGGCATGAAGACCCTATTAATCATGACTATATCTCTGTCTCTGTCTCTATATATCTCTCTAGAAAGAAAGACACTTTTTCTTTTTTAAGAGATTTTTGCTATAGAATGCATGCACTCGCCAGAGAGATATAGAGACAGAAAGTGAGAAATTACACCCAGGAGGGATGGCCACACTACACTTCCTTCTCCTTCATTCTCTTGGGATTGGGGGTAAGCCACTGGGTCCAGGACTCAAACTGCGGTCTGCCATGTGAAATTCAGAACCTTAACCCCTGCACCATCTGCTAGTGCCTAAATGAACTTTTTTTTAGAGGCTTTTGCCTTAGGGTGCAGCATACCACAGAGAAAAAGAGAGTGATAGAGATGGTGAGATAGAAAGTGAGAAATCACCCCCAAGAAGGGATAGCCATGCCATCTCTTCTTCATTTTCTTCCTGAGATCTTCAGGACACACACGCAGAACATGATTTTAAAGCTTCCTAATTTGGGACTCAAACTGCGGTCACCAATGAGGGAGTCCAGAGATGTAATCCCTATGCCATCTGCTGGTCCCATGAAGTTTTTAAATTCTCATTCTTTAGCTTTAGTAATAAGATGCTTCCTTCTGGGACCAGCAATTAGCGTAATGGCTATGTCACTGGACTCCCATGTAGTCGACTGTGGTTTGCGTCCCTGACCCGGTGGCTTAAAACTCATGCTGGGCGTGTGTGTGTGCATGGCCAAGATCCTGAGAGGAGAATGGAGGAGAAGGGACTGTGGCGTGGCCATCCCCCCAGGGGGTGATTTCTCGCTTTCTGTCTCTGTCTGTCTGGCAAGCACAATAGCAAAAACCTCTAAAAGAGAAAAAAAAAAAAAGATGTTTCCTTCTGAGTTTTATTCAGCTTTTCCGAACACTCACTCAGATTCCCTGGCTGGACTCTGTTCATGAATTCCTTTCCTGCATTTTCCCAGGAGAGAATACATCTCCCTCTCACTCATAGATCATATGATGCCTTTGGTTTCAGTTACTGAAAATTCACCGATGGCCTCATGATTTCTTTTTTATTCTTTTTTTCTTCCAGATGATGTGTGCACTTGCTAGAGAAAAAGAGTGCAAGAAAGCATCCCCCAAAGGAAATGGTCATGGTGCAATCTCTCCTTCGTCATTTCTTTTTCCTTTTGGGATTTTAGGCATCCACAATGCCCCCACAACTTGAACTATCTCTAGTCCAGATGTTTTTTTGCATGAAAGACTTTGAAATGCAACATGGATCTCTACAAAGGTGTGTCAAGATCCACATGACCAAATTAGTTTATTATATATTTGATTAACCCGAAACCTATTCACCATCCAGACACCATCTTAATAAATGACACTAAATTAACCAGATAAAAACCATGATGCTATTCCAAACGTTGTCCCTTCCCATCCTTTACTTTAAATCTTCAAAATGTATTAATATCCACTGTTCACCCCCATAGGCATGGCCTGAGGGGGGGTCTCGGTGAGGTTCTTGGAAAGAGATATCCAAGACTTTCCCAATAACTCCCCAACAGTCTGTATTATGCAAGGGGGGCCAGGGTCTGGGAGGCCCAGTTCTACCCTGAAAGCTAAACCTCAGCTGGAGAATAACACCTTGTGTTTCTCAAGGAATCTTAGTTCCAAAAGGCTTCCTCAAACTGTCTCTGCACACAATCCTCACCCCAACTTCAGGCATAGAGCTTTTATCCTCAAGGTTGAGCATCCAGCAGTGGTTCCTTTGAAACCTTAGCACCTATGTCAGTCCTAAAGGTACAGGAAGTGTGTACCTGGACCGAGGAGCCCACAGCTCTGGCCCATAAAACCCAATGACCAAGGGAAGGTTATATTACCACACACATAACCTACTCACACCACAGTCAGACCACATTCAACACATACATACCAATACACAATGGCAAACCCAGTCTTACCCACTTGCACCCCTAATCCAAAAGACTCACGTGCTCAGTGTTGCATCCAGTGACCCTTATTCCAGCACACAAGGCATTGGCCGCTCTCTCATTATTAAATACCCTGAACTGGACAAATCCTGCAGTGAATTCCGCTGAAAACAAGAGGCAGAAAAGAGTGTTAAAGGAAGATGCTAGAAATTGCTTTCTTGAGGCCAGCCCAGAGATTCTTTATGCTAAATCTCAGGGTAGAGCCAAACCCTCTGACCACACTGACAAAACCCAAGACCTCTGCAGCCAATAGCTGGTACATCTTGGCCCCAAACTTAGCCAAGAGGGACCTTTCTCAATGCCAAAGACCAAAAGCCACTCCTCAGAAAGAGTCCCTTATGAAGAGAAGTTCAATTATGCAAGGAGATCTGAAGCCCTTCAAGGGCACAGTTGCAGCAATCATTAAGTGTATATTCACTCTGTTCTTGTTTGCATTCTTCTTATTTTCTTCTTTTTTTTTAAATCTCAAATTCCAAACATCATAATTATGGCTTTGAATTTTACAGCATAAGCTCAGTCTCTGTGAAGGATATTATGCTGCCAACTTCAGATACATAAAATAACTAACAGTTGCCCCAGCCTGATGGAATGGTCAATAGAAAACTGAACTGCAGTGCTAGAAGCCACATGCTGACTATAGGTTCAAATCTCTTGACTGACTTGAAAGCATGCTGGATATGTACATGCATGTCCAGGATCCTGACAAGCTAGAAAGCTCAGGAAAGGCGGTCACAGAGCAATGAGAACCTGTCAAAAGTGCTTCTCTCTCTCTCATGAACATACATGTGCTTTCTGTCATGAATAAAATTAATAAATCTTTAAAAAAAAAAACTAATGATTATATCTTAGAAATAATAAAGCCTGTTCCATGGCTTAGGGGTTATGAGAGCCAGATCTCACATGGCTGACAGCTTAGGTTCAAGTCCTGGTCCTGATGGCTTGAAAAAGACACTAGCACATGTGCATGTGTGTGCCCCAGATCCTGACAGGAAGAGAACTGAAGAAGAAGGGATTGCAGTATGACCACACCCCGCTGGGGGGGATGCTTTCTCCCTCTTCATCTATCTCTGTCTGCCTGTCTCTGTCAGGCAAACGTGCAGGCTCTCTAGCAAGAAAAAAAAATGCCTCATCATTGCTTATTCGTTTCTGCTCTATGCAAATGATTCCAGCCTAACAAGTTACTAAGAGTCTGGTAGTGGGATTGCTACCAATAAAGTCTCCAGAGCCAAATTCCCTCATTCTAGTGCTGACTCTCCTACATCTGCCCTGCGATCTTGAGCAAGCTCCTGACTGAACCTCTCAGTACTTCACTTTCCTATCCTGTAAGATGAGGTAAGTAATAGCTCAGGGGCCAGCAGGTGGTGTGGCGGTTAAGACACTGGATCCCACATGGCCAACTGATCATTTTGAGCCCTGTATCTGGCAGCTTGAAAAACATGCTGGGTGCATGTGTATGTGTGCCCAAAATTCAGAGGAGAGAACAGAGAAGAGATTGCAGTGTGGCCATCCCCCTCGGGGGGTGCTTTCTCACTTTCCCTCCCTCTACTCCTCTGGTGAACATATGCACCCTTATAGGAAAAATGAAACTAGTAACAATAATACTAATAATGACAGCTCAGACTCCAGCGGTAGCCATGCAGATCAGAAGAGACAATACAGGTAACCTTAACAGATGAGAACCAGGCTGCAGTAAATCACTGCTCACTGTAGTAACCGAATTGATCACCTTTCCTACAGAGAGTTCAAAGGGTATTAATGACTCACGCTGGCCGAGAGGTGAGTAATAAGATGCTGTTTTCTGGGCATCACCAAAGTCATAGACCACAGGAACTGCCGGGCCGTTGTCAGTCCAACACTTCCCTGTCCCGTACTTCACTGGATATTTCTACAGGGGACAAAAAAGTCACTGAGTGAGGAAAACAACTTTAGCTTTTGAGAATACAGTCATTTGCAGAGGGAAATGGTCCTTTCTCTGTAGCAGAAATTATTTTAGAACTAGTTAAAATAAGAACCTGAAGCCAGCTGGAGGCACAGGGATAATGCAAGGTTATGAGATAATGAACCAAAATGGAAAGGTTCCAGGTTCATATCCTGAGATGTCACTGTGCACACCAGGTGTGTGTGTGTGAGAAAGAGTGAGTGTTTATATGAACCTGTGATCCCGGCTGATCGAGGCTGGATATGGATTCCAGCATTAAGACCCTATTGGAGTGCCTATTTCTCTCTCTCTCTCTCTCTCTCTCTCTGGTAAAATAA